ACCAATATTTGGTAGAAAAAAGCTAAAAAGTTACGTCTAAGTGGTTGTACTAACCTGTTTTTGTCGCCTTCCGGTGCGACGGCGGCCATCTTGATGTTTGTTTACATAGCGCGCGTTTGCCATCCAAGAAGTCACGTGATTTCTTAGTGCAAGTCGCCTATTACATGAGCTTTATTCATAATAATTCTATGACAGGTGTCATTCTACAATCAATATGATAATATCGTGCTAAATAGTGCTAAAATAACTAAGCAAAGGGGTAAAAAAGAGGATTACTTGTGAATTCAATGCATACCATTATCTAAACTTGTACGTGATGGTAGCCTTGCTGAAATCTTATATCGATACTTTTATATAGCTAATATATAATGGTATAATGGTATAAATTGTGTTGGATTGTGTTACGGTCACCAGCAAGTTCGGACATTGTTCTCGGATTTCCGTACAAATGTACTAACATTAAATGAACTATTTACTTGGTTGAAGCTTTTCTTACTGCTGTTAAGAGAGCTACCTAAAGAAATCTATCTAAATTTTCTCTTTAAACTCAGTGAATTTGTATGGGAACTTTTTGGTGACCGTAACACGATCCAACAATGTATTTACGACGTGACGGCTATGCGCTGAACAGGTGAATTGATCGTTCTTTATCTTGTTTTCATAAGATAAGTAATAGTAATTAGAAAGCTAATGTCTTGCTTAGTTTGTCTGTAAAAATATTAATTTTCTCTCTCATAACACTATAATAATTCTCTACTTTCAGCTCAAAAGGCAGCCTAAATAGGTTCCCGTACATGGTTTGTAAGGGAATGTTGGAGTTAGGATAAAAGAATCAAACACCCCCCTCCCAAACAACAACAACAACAACAAAGTTTCACTGAACAATAGACCCCTTCTCAAAATTGATATAATGCGAGGCTACAATAGAAATACTACATTAAAACTGATCATGATACAAAAGAATTCCCCTTTTTTTCCTCGATATGAAATTTGAGACTTTCTTTTTTGTATTTTCATGTAAGCCTCGAGCACATTCAAGAGAATTTTGATAAGGGTCAATTTTGGCCGTAAAACATACTGCTGTCGTTGTAGCATTTTACAATCTCCTGGTAAAGTTTCAGATCGATTTGAAGTCGTCTAGTGTTTTATTTTTCTTTCAAAATCCGCTCTACCGATAAGTGAGAGTTATCGACTGTGGTATATTAGACAAATAAAAGAAATAAAAAGAAAAAGGAGAAGAAAGGAGAAGAGTATGGAGACAACAAAAAGGTCTTTTTTAAAACTGTATACTTTAATGACCAGTAAGAACAGAGTATTTGAAATAAGAAATATTTTTTTTACTAGAAATACGAGACTGTTCAGATCTCTACAAGAATGGCGAAAGACGTAACGGAGTGTACACCATCAAACCAGACAGTCAAGGAACCTTTCAAGTCTACTGTGACATGACAACTGACGGAGGGGGGTGGACAGTGTTACAGAGAAGACAAGATGGATCAGTAGACTTTTATCTTTACTGGCAGCCGTACAAAACAGGTTTTGGGAACCTGAATGGCGAGTTTTGGCTGGGCAATGACTACATCCATCGACTGACTGCAAGAACCCCCTCGACATTGCGCGTGGAGCTGGAGGACTGGGCAGGAATAAGGAAGTATGCCAAATATGGTAGTTTTAGTGTTAATGGTGAGTCAGACAACTACAGGATGAGTGTAGGTTCGTATTCAGGTAATGCAGGAGACTCACTGAGATACCATAACAACATGTTATTCACTACGAGAGACAGGGATGATGATCCTAAAGGAAGTGAGAATCGTGCTATTTCTTACACTGGTGCCTGGTGGTACAATGGTTGCCATTCTTCAAATCTGAACGGTCGGTATCTTGGCAATGTAATGAATCCAAAGGGTGTCAACTGGAAATCGTTTCACGATAACCGTATATCCCTGAAATTCACTGAGATGAAAATGCGGCCTCAAATATTCTAAGATGGGTTAAATCAGAAGACTGCCGATACTTGGACACTTACAAGACCTGCGGAGAGTAAAAATAACACAAAACAAAGGTGGACAAGTTTGTTTCTGATTTCTTTAAAAAAATATAAAGTAGAATAGCAGTTCTTTTGGATAGCGAGCGGAAGAAAGAGACAGTGTGTACGCAAGTAATTTAAATACCAGATCCTAAAAGTCTGTTGTATGATAACATGTTGTTGTGGTAGCATAATATACAGCAAAGCAAAGTAATAATAGGGCTACATGGTTATAGAGAACACTATAGAAAGAGTTCAGTAGAAAGAGTCGAAATATAATTAAAGCAGTGTCGCTGCTAAAGTTTTTCAATTCTTGGGATGTATTTCAAGTAACTGATGCATATATAGCCGTCATGTTTGCCGTTGAATCAATATCAATTGATTACTCTGTTTATTTTGTTCTCTTGCTCAAGAGAAGAGCACAAAACCAAACTATAAAACAGCTTCGAAAATAATTAGTATATTAGTTTGGTTCTATAACACGTCATACGTCCAGCGCGTCCTGTAACCAGTGAGCGGTAGCTTACAAAAATCCCAGGATATTTTGATGAAATAAAAGAGTTAAATGGAATAATTTATTCAGTTGGATGTAATAATGTTACGAGCGCTGGCCATAATTATGACCAGAATAATGTATTATCACTAACTGTTAACTAGTAAAAAAAAAAGGTTATTTGTCAGTTATCTAGATTTTTTTTGGCCAAATATTGTCAGTTAACTACAAGCCCCATTGGCACTCTCTCATGACACAAGTCACCTACTGCGCCAACTTTGCAGCCTTTTTTTCATGCTTGTAAATCGTCTTCTCACTTAGCGTGACGCGGTGGATGTTTAAGAAATGTTGCTGTAATATAAACCTGTATTGGAAAGATATGTAGGATGACATGAATGAATAAAAGAAGTAGGTAAATACAAGTGACTGGTAACCCTGATATTTCTTTCTTGTACTTGAAAAATCCAGATGTTGTGTTAACACTTTATAATCGTTATCCGATCTTACAAATGATTGCAATGAATGGAATAAAAAATACTATAATAAAAGTCATTGGCTGATGAGAGAATTCCACTTTTTTTATTATTCATTCATTGCATTCCTTGCATTCATCGCATTCATCGCATTCATTGCATTCATTGCATTCATCGCATTCATTGCATTCAT